TTCATTGATTCGCACAGGTTGGAAGACGTCGATTCGTTCATTGATTTAGGCGTTCTATTCGATTATAGGTTACGTTTCAATTTGCATATTGAGTCCTCGTTAAGCAAAGCTAGGTCCGCTCTTGGTTTTATAAAGAGGTGGTCCAAAGAGCTTGATGATCCTTATATTACTAAAAGGCTTTACACGTGTTTGGTTAGACCTATTCTTGAGTATGCCTCTGTTGTGTGGTCTCCTTCATACAGATGCTACGTTGGTTCAATTGAATCTATACAAAAGCAATTCTTGCTGTTTGCACTTAGGAATTTGGGTTGGGACCCGATTTCCCCTCTTCCACCCTATGAAAATAGGTTGCTTCTGTTATCCTTACCGTCACTCGAGAAACGTAGATTTGTTCTTGGGGTTTCCTTCCTAATCAAATTAATAAATGGTGCAATTGATTCGCCCGCATTACTTCGTGAGATTTGCTTTAATGTCCCTAACCGCTTCTCTAGGTACTTTATGTTGATAAAGCTTAGTCAATGCAAATATAACTTTGAACTGTTTAACCCGCTCAGAGTTGTTTGCAAGAACCTAAATGATGTCTATCATCTATTCTCATTAACGGACTCTTTAAAGTCCATTAAAGCAATCTTGCTCAACAAGCGCGATTTACCTATGTCGTACTTAAACTGATTTAACCTTAGATTTTGTCATTATGAGTCGAAAATTAATTTGTTGTTAACAATTATCGGTTGCCAAGCTTATGCATGTTTGCGATGGCTTAGGGGTTCACTTGCAATTTGGTCCTGTATCGGTTGTGGGCGTGGCTCTATGCTAATTGTGTACATGCTTTTTTTTTCCTCCTTATTTGTTTTATTGTACTTATACTAAGTTTTATTATTAAATAACTTTAAGATTTACTTAAGAGTCAACTGAACTCGACTGCCATTTTGTTTTAGTTGAGTTTCTTGTATAAGTGGAAGAAATAGATAAATAAATAAAATAAATAAATAAATAAACGTTGTCCTAGTATTGTACATATACATTTCAGCAACAAAAAAAATGGAAGTATTTTACAACTCTGACAAATATTTTTACAAATTTATTTCAAGTGATATTACGAGCATTTTTGGTAATAGCTACGGTTATGTTTATTACAAATATAACTCAATAAACCGCGAATAGGCATCAACCACCGTTGGAATCGCTTGAACCTAATTACGTCACAGCCATTGATTTGTTAGAAGAATTATTTCATAGTGAACTAGTTTTTAGGCATATATTCAGTCGTTTTTGCGTGGAAGGTGTCAAGACGAATCCAGTGCGGTGAGCTTGCGTCAATTTAGTGAACTTAAGGCTCATATATGTGCAATTTATACGCACAAAACAACCATTTTCCGACAAATTTTTTTTGCTTTTAATCACATTAAAGTTTGATGTGTTATCACGAGAGAAATGGGAATCGTCTTTAACTATCGACAAACTCCCGTGGCCTTCTACGGTTCTTGGACAAGAGGTGCCTTTGCTATAAAATATTTAAAGGCGGCGGGCAGACGAAATGTCAAACAAATCAGCGAAAAAACTTCTGCCCGTGGTCGAAATGCTCTTGTAACCGCTGCTGCACCATACGATCCGTATCTCCCAAGAACGCACTACCAATTGTTCAGAGCTTTGAAGTTTACACCCCGCATAACATTTTAAGGAGGTCAGAAAACTGGAAGCATGTTCTAACTGACTGAAAAAAGACCACAAAGGAAAGAACTTCAAACCCGGTTTTAGTCGCCGTTATGAGGGAAAGCATTACTCATTACTGCACTTCGATGCTATCGTTAAGTCCACGCCAGCTTTGCCTACGTCTACAGAATAGTCTGTCAGTTTTGCAATCTGCACTCATTTTGTCATTATCACCTCACTCCTCTTTGGATTCAAAAATTTCCGCTACCTTCAAAAGTGGGACTACAACCAACATTAGTTCATCAAGAGGTCTCCTTTGTTGCAAAGAAATACGAAACATACATATGATTTAAGTTTACTGCCAGCCTTACCTTGACATACCCATTAGCCTAGCTCTAACATAAGCACAAGCAGATGGAATATGAAAATGCGAAATCAGCAGACCCCGGTTGTACAAACGCACGAAGAGTCAATTTTCGTAAATTCGTTTCGGTCGCCGACTGCTGCTGTGGCGTTAATATGTAAGTACCAGATCTCCCTTGTACAACAGCATCATCATTGTTAATTAGCATGTTCTTGTAGAGAAAGATGTTATATAATAAATTACAGAATTTGATAGGGAGATTCAAAAAGAGAAGGACAAAATTTAAGAAGTTAATATTAACAGGATCAAACTTTGAGTTGTGTTCAATACATAATGTGGTTCTTAGCAACCACAGAGCTAGCAAAGTTCAGAAAAATATGTCATTTAGGAAAAAATTATCACGTTCTTCGTCAAGTGATACAGGGATTATAAGGCCAGAAGGTCCAGCAAGCTTGTCAAAGAGCTTGTTAAAGAGCTGTGTGGGTTTGAAACAACGAGCGGGCGTGATACCTCTGAAAATTCTCGCACTACGCCAAAGGGATTGACATGTCGCTATTGATATTTTCACAAATTGTTTCCAGCCTGAGAGTATAAGTATAATCCTTTCTAACATCGTCCAAAAATTTGAAATATATTATAGAAGAAGATCTTTTGCTTTTACAACGAGTATAAATTTGGCGGCGGCTCGGTTGCATGCCGTGTTCCACCAATGATTAGAAGGGTATCATTTTTTAGAAGTTTTTCGGCTCGGAAATCATTGAGAAGCTGTAAAAGAAACAACCCGAAGACTCATTGGCTTTAACGGTATTTGAAATGTTACGGATAGTATTGTTAAGTAAAGAGGGGTTGCTATAGTTTGGAACATGAGTATGTGGGTGGCAACGAATGTTAGGATACAAATGAAGACCAATTACGATCAGATAGTGGGAACTACCTAAGGTGTTATTGTACTCGGTGAACTCAGAGTAGGTGTACAGATCGAAAGATCTATGAAAGAAGAGACAGAACCAGAATGAGTAGGATCATCATTATTTAGTAGGACTAAATTGCGGCTTTCAAGAAAATCTTGAATTAGAGAAAGGACACACATTGTGAGCATTAAAATACCCACATATTAATGCAGATATGTCGGATCTGAAAGAAAATAACCTGTTGGTTACAGAATCAGAAACATTACAATTAGGTGGAATATAACAACTTATGATATAATGCACTTTTTCTCTCAGCTACGTTGCACAAACAGTTACTTACTTTGTTTTTGTTTTGCCTTCAAAATGATTTGGTATTGGAGATTAAATTTCAATTATTAAATTTTTATTAGTTATTAAAGAGTCACTTTTGCACACTTTCATAGGGTCTCTTATCACAATTCAGCCTATTATTTAAAATAATCGTCAATCAGGATATTTCTTCCTGATCGAAATTTTTTTTTTCGCGTTTCTAATATATTTCGATTTTCTGTTGACAACTTTCTTTTTTGATACCACTTTTTTTTAAATTATTTTAAAATTCACATAGATTTGCACATCACAGAAGTATAAATCTTTGAATGAAAATTGAAAGATATATAAATTAGAGCGTTAATATTTATTTAGAAAATTTCATATATATGTAAAATAATAACTCACAAACCATGTACTTGCAACCAAACAAGAATAAAAACTAGGCTTGAAACCCTTTGAATTACCCAAACGGCCTACTTTCGGCTAATATTTTATATCCTCTTTTTATAAACTACTTTTCTTACGTAAATCATTGAACACAAATAAAAATACTTGTGACTAAACTTTAAAAAGTATTTACATAGCCTCTCTCAGTCGCTCTATTTTTTTTTAGTCTTATGTTTTTAGCTCTATTTTTGAATCCTATGTAATCCTCCTTCAAAGGCGCACAGTCAAGTGCGCAACTGCGAAAAGCTGTTTTATGCTTTAAAGATTGTTAAGTATATAATTTAAGTTTTTTCGGCTGAGTATATATATGAACTAATATTTTTGTTTTAAACATACATTCCGTATATTTTGCTGCATATATGAAACGTACAAAAAAATATATGTAAAATTAAACTAATAAATAACAATTTAGGTAAAAAGTTATTTTCATTTGAAGAACTTTTAATTCATAAATTATTAGCTTGCAAATTATTATCTACAACTAATTGTAAATGAGACTTTTCTATTAATCGCTTCTTAGTTTTTAAATAGCAATATATTTCTTATGTGTTATATATGTAATGTGAAGTTTTTCAACACGCGAAGTACGCTTAGAAACCATTGTCGCTCAGGAATTGGAATTTAAACTCGCTTTTACACATTACACTACTTATTCTACTAGGGTACAGAGCCATTTTTTAATATATCGATCCCGAATCACTTTCTGAACAGATCTAAACTTGATTGCCTGGCTTATTTTTTTGTATTCAAGCCACAGGCCGCGAATTGAGATATTTTGATGAAGCTTTGTTCATCGTCAGGTTTATGTGCCTTCTTTTAAAAAGCCGTTATATAAATTGAATAGTTGACTGTAATAGTGTCCGTATATTTATAGTATAAAATTTTTTAATTTCTATTTTGGAAAATTTTCTGAAGGAAGGCTTTCATTTTTATTAAATTGTAAGACAAAAAATGGAAAAGAATAAATTGGAATACTTTTAATTAACTGAATTTAACATGTAATTTACTCCATGAGATTTCGGCATTACTATTAAACTTATGTAACGTTTATAACGGGCTGGAATTATTTATATTTTTGGCCTAGCTAATCCAGCTGACCTATTACAACAAAAGAGAAAAAATATGAGTAAGTTGTACGTTTAAGTTGATATGCCTCTTTTTCTGTTTTATCTTTTCGTCCGTTTTCCTTCTTTCATTTGTCCTCAGTTCGTCGGTCGATATATACGAACTATTTTGTCAGTTAAGTCATTATCAAGACAGCTATTATTTGTTTAAAACACACACACTCACAAACACACGCTCTGATGACTTACCTACAATATGTTCACTTTATTCTTCATTCCATAGCACCTTCCGCCATTACTAGCTTTCACCAAAGATCCCCCATCCAATTCTGCATATTTACAATATGCGTAACCATTTTTAGTTCCCTTTCGATGCTCGTCCCGACTCAAAAAGATATTAGCACTTAGCCGACCGACCGGGTAGATCTATCGTTTTAGCTAACAATTTTTTTTTTTTTGTAGGATTATTCACAATTTATTTTTGGCATTACTTTCCACTGTTCAACTCGAAATTCTTTTTCTACTGATTCTCCCTTCCACAAATATTCTATGTATACACACTTTTGCAAGCATATTACTATACCTAAATTTATGGTTTTATTTTTAATCCCTGTCTGCTTTTCCGCTAATCGTTTTCATTGGCCTGTAGCTGCACGACGCGCCGCGAATGTGCACTTGGGTTTTTCCTCTCCAAGGAATTTATTATTTGGGAAAATCTCTTAGCTGGTACGAACTAGATTTGGGATTTCCGTAACAATATAATAAAATGCTCACGAACACCACACATGGCATATGGTCGAACTGCATGTGTCAACACCGTGCCTGAAGCTCAAGAAGACGAATAGGCAACCGCACAGCTGTTGTCTGGTGATGATCTGTTTGAATTGTTAGCAACGGAAACAAACAGGTATCACGCTTAAGTTACAAGAAAATATAAAGAATACAAAGCATTAAAATGAGTTGACGTGACGGTAAAAGAGATGAAAAGGTTTCTCGGATTGATTACTTTGATGGGACAAGTAAGGAAAGATGATATATATGATAATGGTCGACCACTTCATATATTGAAACCCCGATCTTCCCAAAAACCATGAGTTGGAACAGGTTCATGCAGATCTGGAGGATGTGGTATTTTTGTAATAATGATCTGCTACATGTTAAATCGGGTAAGTTACTCAAAATCCGAGAAGTTCTAAACTATTTACAGAACAAACTCCAGCCTGTGTGTACACCACAGCAGCAATTACCGTTAGATAAAGCCATTATAACTTGGCGCGGTAGATTATCTTTCCGCACATAAAATACCGCAAAAATCGCAAAATATATAATTCTAATACGGATGCTCTGCAAAGCATCATCTTGATACATATGCAATTTCAAAATATACTCAGGCGCGGGTGCGACATTACAAGATACGGTCCTATCAATCTCGAATCCCTATGTGGGAATATATCATCATATCTATATGGACAACCATTGTAGTAGTGTACGTACAGCAGTATTACTCCTGCAAAGAAAAACAAGGATTTGCGGGACAATTAGAGCGAATAGAGGATTTCCACAAAATTTAAAAAGCCTTATATTGAACGAACATGAATCGAAATATGCAAGAAAGGGGCAAGTCGTTTTACAAGAACCGAATCGTCAAAATGATTTCGACGATTCATTCCGCAAAGACTGTAAACGTTCCACATTGGTCCGGGACGAAAATCAAGCCAAACTCTGTTGTAGACTATAATAAGTATATGAAAGGACTTGACCGTGCAGACCAGTACATGTCGTACTATAATATTTTTAGAAAAAGTTGTAAATGGACACAAAAGGCAGTGCTTCATTTTTTGAATGCTGATTCCTTCAATATATTTCTTATCCAAAAGAAAATAGGAAATAGCAGAAACACATATAAGCAATTATTGCTCAATGTGGCAATAGCATTGACACAATGGGAGGAGGAGGAAATTAAAAATATTGACTCAATACAAGCAAGACCGTCGAATATAGTAAAACCAACAGTAAAAACAGCGAAACACGACCCCCCAGGACGTTTATCCCAAGACATGAAAAAATACAAACTAGTACCTATTGTCACAAATGGAAGCAAGACATGTCCTCAACGGAAATGCAGAGTATGCACTCTGCATTCTGTAAATAAAAGATTTGGGTATACACGGTACGTTTGCAAATCTTGTAATGTCCCATTGCATAAGCTTACATGTTTCGAGAAATATCATACGCGAAAACAATAGTAATTATCTTGTGCTCTTTTGTTCCTTATTTGAGTTGATTTATTCATCTCTTATCTTTTATGTCCTTAATTTTCCGACTCTATTACCCGTACCTCTGAATAACCATAAAAAAATAGGAATAATAAGTTTTTAATTTCAAATTTTGTGTAAGAATTACACAACTATATGCCGGGGCTGAGTTGTAATTTGCTGCCGCGCAGTTTATATGGCTTTATATCGTTCTTGTAAATATATGTACGCAAGTTTTTTTTCCTCTAGGTAATAGATTTTAAAAATACCGTTTTCAACCATTTTTATATATGTGTATTTAACAATTTTTTTAGGATTTCGTTTAAAGACACTTCACTTTTATAAACTAAAAGTCATGTTGAATAAAGTTTAAGAAAAAAAAAAACAACACAGAAGGACACGGCCATCAATGTTTGCCTTTATAGATATCAAAAATTTCTGATCATGTTTGATTTTATAATTATAAACCAAACTGTAAGAGCTTAAAAATTTTTGCTTTTTTTTAGTCAAATAAACACTGCAGATAACATGGGTGACATCAACATTTTTTTTTTACGCATGCCTATTGCACCAAGCACTTGTTTTCTCTTCATCTTTGCCTGCGTTTGTTTTGATCTGTCTCTCCAGGTCTAAGTTTGTAAATGACTTGATGAGCATAGATTCTCGTAAAAAAAACCAGTTGTATTAAGTGAAACTCAATATTGTACAGACCGACTTTTTCTCTTTTTACAATTCCTCTCTTTTATTTTAATTATTACACTAAGGAATTATAAAAGCCTACACCTTTTAACAGCGACGTTATTCATAATTTTTTTTTTAAGTTTTAATTGATAGACTCTTGATTGCCTTACATATAGACCACTTTAGACAACGAATAAAAGTGCGTTGCTAAGAGCCATTAACATAGAAGATCGTTCACGTCAATATGCTCAGATATTACTTATATTTCCTAACTTATATGGTAAAAACTTAATATTATTTTTGATTAATTGTAGCGGCTTGTAAAATATATACTACAATTAAGTAAATTGCAAAAAATTTATCCTTCTGTTTTAACATATTTAAAGTATTCGCGTAATGCCAGGTGATTTCTTGAAATATATATTCCAAGAATATTAAAATTGTTTTTCGATTGTTATTTCTCCTATGGCAGAATTCTTTACAGGAGTTACGGATTTTTAGCAACCGATTTCATAGTCTTTAGAAAGTGTCATAAGATTCATATAACGTTTTTAAATGTGATTCGAGATTGTAGAAAAGCCGAAGATAATGTCAAGGGATTAATTTCATATTCTAGTATTGCATTTTGCATATGGCAAATTTTCAATATTTTCTAATTTTTATACAATATCATAAGCACATTGATAATAAATTAAATGTCAATACTAAGGTTACAGACATTTTCGCCTAGAGAAAGCTTAAATTTGGCAGAAAAAACAGTTTAATAATTTCCGGTATTCTAGTATCCATAATCAATGATTTTAGAAAAATTTATTATAGGAAGAAGTAATGTAAGACGTCTTTAGTTGCATATTTATTTTCCTTTGTTTAAAATTTTCGCTCTTTTCACACAGGGACGAAAAGTGATTTGTTTACATTAATAGCCAAATAGAAAGAAAAATTTGGTAAATTGTATATTTTTTTCTTTTTAAGCTTATTTTTCAGGTTTCTAGCTAGGTGGATCAGACTTTCAAGCTTTAAACTTAAAACATACATGCGTGAAGTGATGTCATGGATAGGCGGTGCAAAGTCGACCCAAAATTGAGGAGCTAGGACGAATTTAATATACTAAGATTTGCTTAAAATCTGCGACTGTTCAAATTAGACATGAAAAAATAGACTATTCACTACAAAAAATTAATTTGGCTAATTTATACCTGAAGTGATCTTTAGAATAACTAAAAAAAAAATGCTTTGGTCATCCGTTGAGCATTTGTAATATGTAGGTACAAAAATTAAGCCTACTCAGCTGCTAAAATAGTAATATAAAAAACTGTAAGTCTGCAAATTTACTTAAAATGGTAAATAAGTCATTTTTTATTTACTTTTTATTGAGTTTTTCTTGTTGTTTCACAAAAAAAATTTGAAATGAAATTTGCCTTCTGTTTTTTAAAAGGTATTTATTCTACTACACTCAACTGCAAAATGAACGTGTACCTTGCGCTTATTCAACTTTTCCTTGTACCGTTGTTTTTATTTGGTATTAGCCGCTTTTTTTTTCTTTTGCTACATAAATTGATCAAGTTTGTTTACACGTTACCTTCCAGTTTTGGATTGAAAAGTTATGTTTTGTGAAGGGTGATAAATTATTATAATTGAGTGAGAATTTACAAGTCCCTAATGAATCATTTTGAATATATCTTAAATCACGAATCTGACTTTTTTTGCTTTTGTAAACTTTGACAATATCTGGCACGAATGAGTGTATTTTATTCTTTTTACCCCATATATTCGTATATGTGTGTGCATATATTTCATTTAATAACTTTGCTCGTTATGTCAATTTTTGAATGTTATTATTTTAATAAATATATTTATATAAAGTTACCTTAATATCAAAAGAGCAAAAATTCGTTTTTTGTCAGTATTATCTTAATATTATCTTAATTACGAATAGCTTAATGCTACTTTAAAGTTCTATACTGTTAGCAAACAGCGTAGATTAGAAGAATATGTAAAAAACTTCGATAATCTCAAAAATGCTTTTTGCGTTCAATATTTGGTGTGTATCCAATCGTGCGACTATCGGCACGCTTTTTGAACTTTGCTATTCCTGTCTAACATCGGAATATTAATTGCGCCCTTTAAAAGCAAGATAACTTTACGTATATACAGGTAAATAACAATTGATATTTTGTTGCAAATCAACTTTAAATTATGGTGTCTAATTGTCGAGCTTGATGTAATATCTTCTTTTGATGTCCTACTAAAGTAATACCCATATCAGATAGTTGTTGAGCTGTTAATCTGGAGATCTGTAAGAGTATAATAAAAGGAGTGTCATTCACACATTTTAATGTATCTATTACGTACACATATACACATATGCACTGTATACTGTATAATTTATAAGACTGTTTATTATATTACATATAAAAATATGTATGTTTACTATATACGTTATAATACCTAATTTACTCAATTAGTTTATTCTAGTTTAATGTTTCCTATTAAAATTAAATATATAAGTAATGATAGTAAACCACAAAATCAGGTTAAAATAACGACTTTGCATGCAATTCTACTTAACGGCTTTTACTTTCGACTCTATTTTCTTACAGTCGATCTCCACTTCTATTGACCACGTATTGTGTTACTGTCGTATTTTCTTTATTTTCTATTGTATCCAGTGTTGCTATCTACTGGTCTGATTACTTCGATGGCACATGCGACTGTGCCGATTAGTCATCCGTCTGAGATGAGCTTCCATCTTTTACGCTAACACCGCACGTTTTCACATTATCGCGACCAGCATTTGTAAAATGTAATGGTCTCATAAATGGCCATTGTTTGGACATTTTGCAGTAAAAAATATATTGTGTTCCTTTTGTTGCAACAAAGTGGCTTTGATTGTATGTGCTTCGTTTGTCATCTTTTTTCCTTCTGTTTTGCCATATTTAAAACATTGTGGGCTGCTTCTACGCACATTTCTTTTTTATTTAACGAACCGCAGTTGGAAAGCGAATAATTCTTTCTTTTTCGCATGTAATATACTTGTTTATAAATATGAAAAAACGAATTTTACGATATCTAATTTATTCGACACTTTTTAACCACGCAAGTGGGTTGTCCAGTATTGCAATTGCAATTTACGTAACTAATAATACTTGATCGTTTATTTTATTGTTTCTAGTCGCTTGTTTTTTTGCCTGGTGTATAGTAAGGTTTTTCTTGCTTTTGGTTACATCACTTTTTTTTTGCCGGCACTCTCACCCTTTTTTACCATTTTTTTTTTCATAAGCGCATTATGATTTTCTTATGTGAATTTTCATTCCAGCTATCGCTGTCCTAAATTCTTTAATTTTTTTAATTAATTTTATTTAAATCAAACAAGTGTGATGTTTACAGATCGAGGATCCCCTTTCGAAGGCCGGTTACCCGACTATAGATTATACATTTCAGTCGCTATAATTCAGTGTCAAACTTTCCATTGCCTATTTTACAAATAAATTTTGCGAAAACCGAATTTCAGTTAGACAAGTGTACAGAATATGGCTGAAATCTTTGGTGGTAAAGACAGCCAATTTTTAGCGTATTTTGCAAGCGTGCATGGAACCATTTTCGAATAACATAAACCCGGTTTTGAGTTAATTTCAAAATTTTATAAAGAAATATGAAGAATGAAAATTCAAGATTATGTACACGTTACAATTATTTATCAATCGGTATCAGTTGCTGAACGGGAAAACAATATTGCAAATTCAAACGAGTGTTTAATTAAACAACCTGAACAGCATAATTTCCTAGCTGTTAAATTCGTTTCGCACATGAAACGAGCGTATTCTTGAACGGATGTGACTCTACGACACATAGATATAGGGAGCTTTAGCTAATATATTTTAAGATTTTACGTACACCGAATTTTCGATGTGTTAATATAACTTATAACTTATATAAAAACCTACTTAAAATCATTTTTTAATATTATGTTTTCAAGTCGTTCGGAATATAAAATTTTTAATGCGTAAAATCATTAACATGTGCCTTGCAAACTATTTCTTGCTAAAAGTCTCATTTTCCACGCATATCTTCTTTTTATAGTTCCTTTTTTGGGCAATATTTCTTTTGTATATATTCTTGATCGTCCTGTTATTTATCGTGAAAATCTTCGGTACGTTTTTTAGCTAAACTGCATAAATGTTTTTGTCTAGAACAAGGAAAAAGTCGATCGAATTTAAATAATTTCTGTAAACTAAACTTTTTTCGAAGATAAACTCTAAAACAACGCATTGCGCTATTATATCCAACAACCTTAGAAAACAAATTGTACATACACTTGATGGTGTTTAAGATAGAGTTACATTAAGTTTTCGAGACAACAAGTAAAAATATCTTAATCGAGTAAGACCGGTCTTCAAATACCTTATACCATTTCGCCTTATACAACTCTTTATTTATTTTCGTCATAAGATAACAAAAATATTATCTTGTTTTGTGTGAAGGCCTTTTTTTTTTTTAAAGGCTTACTGTTCGTAAGTATGAAGGTAGAAGTGAAGCAAATATTGAAATATTTGTTGGGTATATATTATAGCCGGAAAATCGTAAAGGTGACTATATCATAACGAATTTTGTCTTAAAGTTTAAAAAGTAAGAAAATTATATTCCCTCTTGCCGAATCGTTTGAACCTATCATGTTTACCTTAAAAAAAAAAGAAGGAAATAACGATATTGTGTAATATTGGGTACTGTAAGAACAAAGGTAAAGGTTTTTATCATTATACCTGATTTAATTGATGATTTCGTTTTCAGTATTAGCCTAAATGCAAACGTTCCAGTGTTCTCATCAAAGGTGACATGTTAATTTCCAGGCTGTTTTTCAGAAACAATTACGTAGAGAGATTACGTGGTGCCTAAACCAACTCAGAATTTGATACAGATTAATAATAATAATGCAATCCCAATAGCTTTTCTCTGGGCTTTGCAAACGTTTTGACAAACTCAGTGTGCTCGCATTGCTCGGTGGAGGGTATAAAAAATATTACTCCATTTTGCTTGGCATGTTAAGGATTAATCTTTGTTTACATCTAGCATGACAATTAATCAGCTACATAATTCTTCTGGCCAAAAAATAATGTGTATAATATTTAGCTTTAATTGCTATTATCTATCACAAGGCGATTTTTTTAAATTTATTTATTATTTGTAAATGCGACTTATTTAGAAATTTATGAATCCTATTTAATAGCCTTACGGTAGTTAAGGCTACTTAATTATTTTTGTTTAGATATATTGCGCTACTTAAAAAACGATGAAAATAAACTGATAAAGAATACTTATATACCTGTTGCGCAGTGACCAAATTAGCCTCTTTAAAGTGTTGAGAATATCGAGACATCTTAATATTTTCCAACCACAAATCTGTACTGATAAATATATTGTGACCCCTTTGCCCGTCCATTATATGTGCACCATCATTTTCGGGAGAGCTTCGGGTTGTCAGCAATGCTTGGGGTTGTCTAGCTAAATTATCCAGTGTGGAAACAATACTTGAAAACGTTGGTCTGTGAGTTCTTTGCTTTTGCCAACAATCTAACATCAGCTGATATAAGGCTTCCGGACAATCCATGGGTGCTGGTAGTCGATAGCCTTTCTCAATACTCTTAATTACATCCTACGCGTGATTTTTTGGAAATGTGAATTTTGTAAGCATTAAACGTTCACGTGATTTACCTGATTTGACCAATTCCAGTAAGGTCGTTCTCCATAAGACATAACTTCCCAAAGAACCACACCATATGACCATACGTCCGAGGCTGAGGTAAATTTTCTAAAAGCGATTGCTTCTGGAGCAGTCCAGCGCACCGGTATTTTGCCGCCCTTGAGTTATTATATTATTCCGTTAATTACATAAAACTTTGGGACTCAAAATACTAACCCTTGTAGTATATGCATCGCTGGCATTTTCAATTTCTCTCGACAGACCAAAATCGGCTATCTTACATATTAGTTGAGCGTTAACGAGAACATTACGAGCTGCCAAATCCCGATGCACATAATTCATGTCACTTAAATATGCCATTCCGCTCGCTATGCCACGCAGCATAACAATTAGTTGTAAAGTTTGAAATTTTCCATCGTTAACGCGCAGAAATGTGTCTAAGCTTCCATTTTCCATATATTCAGTTATAATCATAACAGGATTTGAACGAGTAACTACGCCTTGCAAATAAATGACGTTTGGATGATCGAACTGTCCCATAATCGAAGCCTCTGTTAAAAAGTCACATTTTGCTTTTTCGGAAGAACCTTTAAACAAAAAAGTAGTTCACCAAAATAAAACAGCATTTGTAACTAATCGCACGGAAGATGTTACCGGGTTTCAAAGTTTTAATGGCAACATCGATATCCTGTACAAAATTTGGAGGTATTTTTAAACGGCCGCGGCAAACATCACCGAACTCACCACCTCCTAATAAACACATATACGTCAGGTATATAAATTCGATTTTTCAAATTTTAGGGGTTATTACCAATAATTGCTTCTATGGTTATATAGTTAGCATCAATTTCGCGAGCAAATTCACGTATGGCTTGGTTGGGGTCTTCGTAGGTGTGAGGATCTACGTAGCATCTACTATTCCCAAACAATGGTGTAGTCACTGAAAGCATTACAAAATAAAATTAGTGGATTACTGTCATTAATATGAATATAATATATTTAAAATTTGAACTACTAGCTCCTCATATTTATCTTAAAGCACTAAATCAACTAAGGCCACAAAAGCAGTAATGAGAAATATATATCTCAAGGTGTCTCGCCTTCGCTCTCTCTGCCTCCTTTACCCTTTAGCTATTACTTATAGATTACGTAAGATAAGTAAATACCAATCACATGAAAAAATAAATCAATAAAAGTGTATTTAGTTTTGTTCGAATCTTGAATATCCAACTTTTAATATTATTTTGTTGGCGACGCACCCATGAGAAGGGCATAATTTTTGAACAGATCGTTCAACTGATTCCACGATCGTTGATATGGTGTGTCAAACGGATTTGTTGCATTTTGTTTGATTCTCACAAAAATATTTTTAAATAATCGATATTTTCTAGTGCATTAATTGATTGTATTATATATATTACCACCAGGTCAACGCTCATATTTAATTAATATTGCCTTAACCTACAAAAGTCTATTAAGAATTGTAATTCAACAACCTCAATGTAATAGAGCATAATAATACAACGTAATAATAATACAACATAATAATATTACAACATAATAATGATAATGCAATAATAATATAAAATAATAGAACATAATAATAATACGATAATAATACAACATAATAAAGATTATTGAAAGGTTAATGACAATGCAAGTGCAAGTATGTATGTAGTTGGTTAACAGTTTTCTTGACGCGACCAGATCGGTCTGAACTTGTTGATGTTGCTCATATTCGATCACGTTTTTTTACGAAGTTTTATGAGGTTTAAGTGAAGTAAGTATTTGGAAGTCATTTATACCATTAAAGTATTTCTTTTCTTTGTTTAGAATTCTCAATCTCTTGCTTATATCCTAGGTCATAGGCGACATACTATAGTCTTCATATAAATTCCGAAGAAATTGACTGAGAAATAGAACATCACGCAGTATTATCAAAAGTCGCTGAAGCTGCCTTAAATATATCCATCATCTATCTACTTGGACACTTTTAAAAAACTTTTAAAAAGAATATCTTAGCAAGTCTTAGAGTAGAGAAAAACGGTACCATTCAAAAAATTGTCAAAAAATTGTTAATAGATTACCGCAACAGTAACCATTGCACAACATCCTGAAAGAGTTCTCAGACCATGCCAAGATACAAGGTTATTAGAAATCAATGACATTAATATACCCATTTTGCATTTATTATTTAATGTTGTCAGTTTTTTCTTATTATTGACATGTTGAATACTTGAATTGAACAAAAGATGTAATTAATTTAAAGGGAGATAAGTAAACTTCCTGTCAGTACTAAAAATCCATAAGAAATAGTAGTAAAGATTTTAAATTAGATTTAAGATTTGCAAGATTTTAAATTAAACAAAAATATAATAAAATGTTTGATACGATAAACTAGATTTGAAAAAGGATTTTTACATCATTAGCGGAAAAATATTCATTTTCAAAAACAAACCCAAGAAAATGATTATAATTAAAAAAGTAAACTTCGTAACACATCACTCAATAGGTCGTCGGGCTTGTACGTATTTGGCAACACTGGTATAGAATTTCAGAATAGTATCAACCTTCAACCGATATGTGTCAAAATTTTATGCTATTTTGACAATTACTTTGCAGGTTACAATTACGTAATGGCGCTACTTTTGTTATGTTCGAGAAAATGTAAACCTCTCTCTCTCTCTCTTTTGTTTGTTTATCAAACGCTCCTTCTTGATGAGAAGAAAAAACCATTAACAATCAGCATTGGCTTGAAAAATGTTAAAGCGATTCTTGACTGTCGACAAAATAAAGCGCTGTTGAAAATGATTGCATTGTTTGCATATATATGCAGTTGAGCTTATAGCTTACATTATCTTTCCCGTTAACGCAAATTTATGCTAAACTTTTAAAATTTCTGCGTGCGTCGTTTGTAACAGGAAAACAACGGGGCATTTGTGAGAACAAGAGAACATTATGCAGGTTATTATATTCAAGCGCAATATGATTTTAAAGTTTTCCCTTAAATATTTATTAAAACCAAAAT